GGTCGGTGACCTAAAGACGCTTCCTCAAGCGCAAAGCTACGGCAGCCCCGCTGCACATTGGGTGTGGTCACACCATGCCCATCTGGTGTGACACACACCCCTGTTACCAGGGTATGTGTAACCTGTTACAAAATTCTTTCAAATTGTAATCACCACTGCGACTTGGTAAAATACAATTTGTATTTCAAGCAGCCGGCTGCTTGTTGTTTAGCATTTTGAATTAACGATATTACACATACACATGAAACAATTTCAAATATTCAGATAAGGCCTGATGCGCAGTTTGTGTGACTTCATATATGTTACGAGAATTCAATGATCTCGTTAGTACAACGATCACAGCTGCTTTTGAGAAGCATGCACTGGGAGGTGCTAAAAATTCAGCAGCAGGCGTCCCTGTTGCACCATGTGAGAGGCCGATTCGTTGTGCTGCGGTCTGCCCGCACAAGTTCTTCGGAGAATATGCTGCACAATACAATGTATGTGTTTGCTTTACTACCTATTTGTTGATGGTCTAGAATTGGCATGCCCTTTTTGGTGTCGATCACCTTAAAATTACGACTGCAAAGCCTTCGCCATACAGCATGAATACCTATCCTATACAAATGGCTATCGGTTAGCCATGTTGACAAAGCACTTTGTCGCTGACCTGCTTGACTGAATCCATTTATCTATGTCTGACAATGAACCATCCTCCTCAGACGGTCCACAAAGTTCACAATCGGCCTTACTGGGCATCTCTTTTGGTAGAATACAACCTTACGGACTGTCAATACTCTACTAAAACCGCAGGCTGGCCAAATGTGCAGCTGTATGCGGTGAAAATTTAGATTGTTGACATGTTTCACACATGCGTACATACGTGCGTTCCCGCTACTAATACGTGTTAAGCCACCAAATTTTAGCACTACTTTTAACCGAGCAGGACGTCTTTTCCCTTTCGAGGTGGCCTTGAAAAAGATACAATGTTTCTTGTACAGTATTATGTACTTGAAGCTCTCGTCATGAGGCACCACTACACGCTAGGTGTCATTAGCAGTTTGTATACTTCATTGCAAGAGCTCTTTGTCATAAATAAGTGTAGCTCCTCGCCGGCAGACTCAAAGTGCGATTGCGCATTGGTACCTGTTAGCATCGCCTTGGAGTATTGTACACCCTAGGGCAAAGGCGGGAGCGTCATAGGGACATGAGATGACCGATATGGGTTTGAAAGAGACGAAATCGGGACAAGCGTGAGGTTTTCTTTTACAGCCTTAAAAGCCAGATCATCTGCCCCACATTTACACCATTTTGGTGTCTATTTAAGGGATATCTTTGAATGGTCGTTGCGTATTGGCACAATCACTTGTACAAGTACTTAAAGAGACAAAGCCACATCTCAAGTCTTTTGGGACGGAGGCGCTGACAAAACTACAATGGCTTTTATTTGCGGGGTCATCCTTTTGTACGAATGAAAGGGCCCATCAAGGCAATTTCGTCGGCGCCAATGACACACTTGCCCGTATTGACGAAAAGGTTTTACAAGCGTATATAAGCTTAAGCACTGCTCGCACGTGTTTTACGTATATGTGGTTATGTATGGTCTCACGAGTCGGTCGAGTATTTTGAACATATTCGGCATAACCAGCCGCTTCTGAATCATCCTACTAAGATGACTTACCGCGATTTAAGAGTTATCGTTGTCTATCATCAGCAGTTGATATTATCCGTTCACGACGCCGAAAGCACTGCAAAAGGTGCAATCGATAATGTTGCTTTGCTCCCTAGCACAATCTTTGTAGGAATCAGCTCTTGCACCGATATCCTGAATGCGTTAGCCTATCATAGTACAATTTGCCACTTGCCGCTAACCTCTCCACAGCGGAAAGTCGGTATCAAGATTTACACCGTTATTCACCAAACTTGAAATTTTATGACGTCACACTACTCCTTTCTTAAAAGGCCATTGCGGTTATCCAGGTTTTTACGCAAGATGTCTGTTTCGTCATCACGTCGTTATATTACTCAATAAAAGGGTACAAAGGATCCATAGGCTTAGGATTTATCCCACTTCTTACACTCAGAGCTCCACGAGTGCACTCAATAACTTATTCATCCACGACAGATGATGAGTTAGGCTCCTCCTCCGGCACCAACCGTACCATCTCGGTGACTTCATCGTTAGCACTTTCCTGTAAATAATCGAGAGGGATTACTCCTCCGACTCTATAAGAGCTTCTGCCGAAGGTACTGAGGGGAGCTGTTTGATCCTCGAACCATTATACCCGACATCAAGGCGGGCCCGTCACACAGTTGTGCTGATTTAGCAGTACCATCACAGAATACCTCATCATCGTATACATCGAGGACGGCTCTTTATTCGTGGCTTGAATTGATCCGTCAACTCCACAGGCTCGGAGTCGGGATTTCGCGACACCCAGTCGCTTCCACGATCCGAACTTTTCTCGAGCTACCTGAAATAGTCACCCTGAGACAGATTTATGTCCTTCACAGAAGCTTTCATGCGCGCTAAAAGCCGTTCTGCTTGCTGGTAGAAGTGTAATGATGATACACTGAAGCTTCAGCAGGAGATAAGTGCGTGGCTCCTTGCCTCTTGGAGCTCAGGGAGATCCATGGCTCGTGCAATTTTAGCTATACCAAACGATGTCATCGGATATCGATAACAAATCCAGGACAAAACAACATTTCTTGCTGTCAAAATACTTGAAGGTTAATTAATGGTTTAGCATACCATTTGAGTTTGACATTTTGCCCGCAGCCCGGCGCAAGACGCACGGAAATTGTATCTGTAATTGGCATTTTCAATGCCTCCGCGTACTGTCTACTGTTTTTGACAGTCGCGCATCGTACATAATTGCGCGACGGTCTTGATATCGCTGGGACGCTCTACGACTCTACAATGCCTCAAACATTAAATTTAACAACCAACAAATCTCGGCCGTAAGTCACACTTTACTTAGAAAAAAATCGCTCTTTTGACCGGATCCCATTGAATACAACTTGGGCGAGGTACAACTTGTTCCATCTGTTTCTCCTGTAGGACGCGCTGCGCCTACTAAACTCAATATTTCTCCGTAACAGATTTGTCGATTGCCGTTTCGTGGGAGCCTGACCTTTCGCGATGCGGCCCTTGCGGCAAAAAAGTTGGACCTCGTATTGAGTGCAACACCTGCTGCTTCTTCAAACCAGGCAGGTTGGATGCAAATGTCTCGATGTGAGCCGCATCCATTGGGAACATCCCGTGAATAGGATGATCATTACTGGCAAGGCCTGAAGCCATTTTAGTGACAGGAATACTTAACTCCTGAACATAGTCTGTCTGTTCCCATCTACCATGACAGTGAAGAAGAACTTCGATTTCACCCTATATAAGCGATGAAACATCCGCAGATCTGTCTCATATGTTGTAAATACCTATTTCTCCAAGGTATCGCACGTTAATACCCATTCTAGCGCGCGACCTCCTTGGTTGTAAACCTCATGCACAACAAGCTATTGCTTTGCTTGGAGAACGGAGCTCCCGCTGAACTGTACCGCGGCTGAGCAGGGGCTCCCGCTAGAGGGAGCCCCTCCGAGGATGATGATACACTTTCGCTGGGCGAGGTTGGAGGGTGCAACCTCGTCCAGCGAAAGTGTATCATCATCCTCGAGTTTGCACTCACGGGTGGGGGCGCATCGTCCACGCCTTCAACAAGCTAAACGATGCTACCATTCCTATACAGGCGCCGATTCCTCGGATGGGCATGATGCTCGACGCCATGTTGGGTAGCAAAATTCATCGACTTTGCTGATAAGCTCTATCAAATCTTCATGAGGTCGAGCGATTATACCGCTCACAGCGGTAGTTCTCCCAGCGGAAGGCTCTGGGAATGATCATACAGCTGACTGCCTTCGATCGTGGAGCGTCGAGCATAATTGTCCAACGCACCAGAATTTAAAGGATTTCCCATGGCTTATCAGAGCCCTCCACGGTCGCCTTTCTCATCAGCAAGCCCGGCTTGCATACACGCTCCATTTTTAAGAGCACGCAGCTCTTCGGGGGTGGGTCCTGCTGCCCTCTACCTCTTTGAAACACAACAGAACTCAGTTCTTATCCAGAAAGTCGCCCTGTGGCTACTGGATTTTCTCGTTTCTCCGCGTCAAACCAGACTGGCTGAAAGCGGGGCGTCGGTTCGACGAACAACCAGTCCGACGGTGAAGAATGTCATCATAGACAAAACACCGTTTACACGCTGTGCTCCCCTCCTCCTTCTCAGCATAGCTGAGATCCATTGGCTTAGGCCCGCTCTGAGGGTGTGCATTCCAGCCAAGTCGTGTCGACTTAAAGTTGACCTCGGCTATCAATGCCACGTTCACCGCTTCTTCAAAAGAAGACGGATGCACACGGAAGACTTCTATTTTGGCGACGCCAGTGCGGAGGCCCTCCATAAAAGACAGTCACTGCGACTACCTATCTGCTACCATCCGGCAATAAGAATTCTCAGCTCTTGACAAAGTCCACCAACTCCTTCTTGCCCTGTCGGGCAGCAAGGAATTGCGATCTCACATGATATGCCTGATTAGGCGATGAGAACACTAGCAGAAGCTGACGCTCCAGGAGGCCATCGTGCTCGGCCCCCGAGCTTGGGGCGTGGTGGATGCCATAGCCATCTTGGCAGGGAATTTCCTCCATCCTTACTCTCGAAGGTCCTAACGCTCACCACTTGTTCAGTCGATGCTGACAGCTTTTGCTGTTAGTGCTCTAAAACGCCTCAAGCACGCTTATGGCCTCGGGCCCTTGCGCGACGAGGTGTTCCACGCCCTCAGGGCCCATCAGGGACATCAGCTTATTAATCCTGTCTTGCATACCCGGAGGCAGATAGGAGGATCCCTCGATCCTCATAGAGGATCAGTCATAACGACTCAGGCATAGTTTGATTACGAGTGCTAAGAAAGTGCAGCGGGGTTGTCGTTGATCCTTGCTTAGAGGAAGCTCAGCTAAGGTCACCGACCTTACGCGTTTTCCAAGAACCAGTTTAAGTGTAGCGGATCGCAATCCGCTACTTCTAAGTACTAACGCCTTACCAAGGCAAACGAGCACTTCTGTTCAAAATAAAAACTGTTCTCGTTGTATCTAATCAATATAGAAAACCTAATTGATACGGATGCATTTTTACTGGCAATCCTGCCACGTGGTGGCTTCATCTTATGGTGTCGCCACACTACTTGTGATTACACTAACTTGCGTAATACACATCTATGCACGGTCGCACAACCCGCCCTTCCTTTCAAGGGTACGTGAGACCCCGTTACTTTTTGCTTGGGTTAACGTTTGGGTTAACTCTTGGAGGTAGCAGATTGCAATCCGTTTCACTCGTACTGACCTGGTATAGAACTTAAGGTCGATGGCCGCAGTAAGCTTCCTCTAAGCAAAGAGCTACAGTAGCCGCGCTGCAAGATCCGATATTTTCCGAAAACTAACACTGTGAGTTTGCTCTTTTTCTTCAGGAGTACATACATCTTTAATTGATTCCATAATCCCCTGGCAGCCCACGTGTAATCGGGCTTCTATTTTCTCATCTTCATAATCACTGATATTCCGGTACTTTTGAATTTTTACAATAACACCAAGTGTAATTCGAAGATTATACAATTGTAATCAGTAGAGTCATACCAGATGTGTAAGGGTTGGGTCCACAGATTACAATACCTACCTCGTTACAATTTGATGTACCCGTTACCACATCTTATAATCGCTGCGACATCATTTTTATATGATTTTCCCCCGAATTCCTTAAGTGAAATTTTACGTAACACACATAGTCAAGGACTGAGTAAGATCACTTTTTATCTGGCATATTCGATTCATTTTAGATATATCGCGTATGAGATTTAGTTGAAGAACATCAAGGAAAACGACTTGAGAATCAAAAGAAGCAAAAATGAGCTACATTAACGTCGCATGTGCGATGAACTCGTCCGAGAATTTGTAGAATTGTCTCTTTCAAATATATGAAAATCGTTTATTATCTTAATTACGATAAATGATCAAGAAACAAAGTTGACAATAATTGATGTTGACCTGTTTTTGTAGCAGCTCTGGCTTGAAACTCTGCTATCCTCACTCATCCCACTCAAGGGATCACTTAAGCTAATGATCTAAGTTGATAAATGATTCAATGCATTACGGTACTACGTGCGTCAAATGACGAGTAGATCGATCAATGAAAGAATATCTTACACTCGAGAAACACAATGAGTAAATCTTAAGGACGATCAAATTGGCTTCTTACGAGTAATTAAGTGTCTGATAGCCCCGGACGGATAAATGGCGTAGAGAAAGGATCGAAATAAATGGCTCTCGGGTCAATCTTTCCTTCGAAAGATTTGTCTCATTTTCGATTCTTCGTCCTTCATCCAACATGTCCGAGCTTGATATTGTGAACGTCGCGGCCACTATAATGACTATCGTGCTACTCTTCTCGCCATTGCCAGATTACCGACGGATTCAGTCGCAAAAGTGTACGGGCGAAGTACGCGTACTACCCGTTTGTATGCTGGGTGTCACATGCTATACATGGGCCATCTATGGCTACTTAAGTGGCATCTACTTCCCCATCATGTCCATTAATGTGTTTGGGACACTCACGTCGCTAGGTTTCTCACTCGTCTACTACCGCTGGAGTTCTGACCGCTCGACTTTGCACAAAATGGGAGCTCTCGTGGGTTTATGGATTTTAATAACGCTTCTTGTCATCGGGCTTTGCAAAACGAATGTCATTCCACTCTCGCTTTATTTTCAAAAGAAAATCATCGGCTTCGCTGCCGTCTTCATCAACATTTTTCTTTACGCATCACCAATGAAGACAATAAAGATCGTATTACGGACAAAATCAGCAGCGTCGTTACCAGTGACCATGTGTTGTGTGAATCTTGTCACAGGGTCATTATGGATGCTTTTTGGTATCCTGACCAATGACATGTTTGTAGTCATCCCCAATGCTCTTGGTGTAATGCTATCTGCCATCCAAGTGCTGTTGTGTGTCAGATTTCGACACCTTGAAATTGTCATCGCAGCTCATGATATCACTGTTATGGAAGTCAAAAGTGAAGCTTTATTATAACAACAAAGCTATTATCAGAATTTTCGGTGATAAACAGATGCGCGAAATAAATATGTGGTAGAATCTACCAAAGTTTGGTCGCTTACAAATGTCACTTGAAGGCAGATACAATTAGTACAGCTTTATTTAAATACGACAATTTACGTGCGAGTGCGAAGATTTTGCTTATTGATTCATTATAACAAACACACCTTCCTGATAAGAGTTTACGCATTGTGTTGGCCTTATATATCTAATTATGAGTCGGTGTCACTACACTTTAATACATAAAAGGCTAGGGCACCTAGTTGCCGATGACCAAAGTTTTGAAACGAGCTACTTAAGGTCTCAATTTTGGTATAGCGTAAAATGCACCTAGGAAAGATATTGACACGTGAAAAATGTCGTATTGACAGTAAAGATACGATTTTTGAGTAAGAGGTGAGGAGTATGAAGTGAGGATACTATACGAGTTTATACTAACTATTTCGCATTTGCAATACACTACAGACACATGATATTTCGCTTGAAATAGACCTAAAGTTCTTAGTATCAACGGGTACTAATCTCAAAAATACATATCTGCTTCAGTGTCTGAGTCACCAACGCCATCTATGTGTAAAATCGTATTCATCACTTATTGGCGTTTACTTTCCTTATCGTAGAACCGTTCATTATCAATTTACAAAGCCACGATTCACATGACTTTGATTCTTAGTATACTCCGTGCGCTTACGACAATTGCAGCACTCTTTGTGGGCTTGTCACCACTGCCGGACTATTATCGCATCTATCAAACGCATACAACGGGTGAGGTCTCGATCTTGCCGATCACTCTTTTGTTCTGTAATAGTTTTATGTGGACTATCTATGGATTTTGGACCCACAACATTTTTCCTGTCTTCGTTTGCAACTTGTACGGCATGACAACCTCGATTGTTTTCAGCTCCATTTTCTATCGTTGGAGCACTGATCGTGCCTCCGTTCTCAAAATTTGGAGTTGTGCTGCATGCATTTTGGCAATTGGTACTTTTTACTTAATTCTTGGAAGTAATGGTGTAACGAACCAGAATCGAGACCAAGTGGCCTCAACGTTTGGATTCGTTGCCGTTGCTATTAACATTGCTCTATACGCATCACCGTTGGCAAGCATGAAGAAGGTGATCGAAACGAAGGATGCCTCCTCGTTGCCAATTACTATCAGCATCGTCTTCCTTGGAAATGCAGCGCTGTGGGTGCTTTATGCCATTATTGCTGGTGATATGTTTGTCATGGTGCCCAACCTGCTCGGAATGTTACTTTGCACAGCTCAAGTGGCGCTGTATCTAAGGTATCGACTTAAGACCAATGAAACTGCACATGCAACGATTTATAAGAGCAAAGTTGCAGACGGATCTCAACGATACTGGGACCATATTGCTCGTTGGTTTAGAAATCCATTGGGCTATGAGCTACTGAGCGCTCCTGTGGCTCCCCTACCGAGATGAGTAGCAGTATAGTTAACCTTTAGACGAATGCCATAGAATTAACAAATAACCATTTTTATAATGAATTGCAAACTCGTTTTGTTTTAGACTATCATCCGATCACTGGCAGATCCTCCAACACATGAATAACGAAAAAATCACAATTTTTACGAATTGGTCTGTTTAACTAAGTATCAGAGAAGCTGAAGCATGGTACAACGCTAACGGAGAGTAGAAATCTCTAATTATTGTTTAAACTAAGCATTTGGTCTTTATGCGGAAGTGTTGAAACTTCAGCTCTTTTCCAGTGTAGTTTCTCGATTGCTGCTATTCAATCGTCAAGCTGGTAGTTTCTCGGCTTACGTAGTCTTGGACTCGTACCGAGCAAGCAACAATTGCCATCTTTTGCAACAGCACATACTAAGTAATTGAAGTTCTGTAGCCTTGCGATTACTTCGACGTCCGTTGGGATATTGTGGACCCAAACAGTAAACAAAATCAAGATTTCCGATCAATTCGACTTAAGGATCATATTGCTGTCAGCTATGTGCCCATTGCATTGAAAAAGACTCAATCAGGCTTTAAGTTATGTCACGGTGTTGCAAGCACAAGAACTTTGACGTATCGTAAAGATGAAACTACTTAACGTGCTTAGACTTTCAACTCAACAAAAGACATAAAACCCCATTAAATCTGCGTTTTTTCATTAAAAAATGGTTCCATAAGATAGTGAAATTAACTTCCCTATCGATGTTGGGGTGTTAGTTACATTGGGCATGGGCCGGTAGCTTTATTTGGCATAGCGCCTGGCGTAGTTGTGACTGAAGTGTTTGGTAGAGCCTTGTTCATCATGTCGGATTGAGTACAACCTACAGATGGAAAAACGCAACCCCAAACGTAACCATTGACATAGGTACATACACCGTCTTCTTTTACAATGCACTGAGATCCGTTGTAGGATGGCAAATATGAGTAGCAGTCGGCAGTAGCAACGTCACCCTTAAGTGGACAAGCACTTCCTGCGGGAGCTGAGCCCGAACCAGAGCAAATGGCACCTCGAGAGACTGGAAGCGTATAGGTGGCATCTCGACAGACAGAGACATCTGTACCAGCCGAAACGGTTGCGAGTGCAAGTGCCGCTAATAGAAGCATTGTCGAATGTATTTTGTTTGGTGTAACTTTGACGAGAATATTGGCAAGTGATGAATGTTGTCTCGAATGAAGTACATGCTTCCAATCATAAAGATAAGAATCACGCCATGAACATGTAAAGGTCAGGAGGCAACAAAGACTTGGTCATGTCAAGAATTGGGTGTCACTGACTAGGTACATGTATCAAAGCGATACACTTTCTATGTCATTTCAATTGAACAACTTGATACCGTCGTCAAGTCTCTAGCCTTAAAGTCAAAGCGACAGATCTTATCATGATGTTTAGGTACCTCCTTATTTATGAATTGTCAATTAGTGGTACTCTGTTTGCGACCATTGGGAGAGTTAGTACCATCTTTTGGGATTTGAGCAATTAAAAAGTACCAAGACTCGACATAGGAAATATGCAAAAAAATGTTCTAAATACAGTATATGCAAGGTATTATTGATGTGGTCTGGGATGGTTATGTAACCCCTTGATCCTTAAGATTCAATGATTATGCCATGGATGCACTTCGTTATGCTCTTCCTGGTCTTCACAAATTTATCAGAGCCAGTAAAAATGCGTCACTTTGTTCGCATTCCTCTACAAAGTCGCAATCAACTACAATTTACTGGAATTTTATCATTACAATCTCCATCTTGCTCAGTGCGTGTGATTTTTGACACGGGATCAAGCGACTCATGGATCTTTCGTCCCATTGACACGAATTCCAACGATCAACGAAGTGAAAATTTCTTTGGAATCAAATACGGAGGGGGCATCGTATCAGGATTTGCGACTGTGACAAATGTGCATTTTGGATCTCCTAGACTTTTTCTTTACGACGTACTTCTTGGTTTCGTGACCGATGAGACTCTTAATTTATTACCATTAGATATTCAAGGTGTTGTAGGTCTTGGAATGGAAGCGTTAGCACAGTTTTCTAACAATTTGGGTTTTCTAAGCCGACTCGAGCAGCACGAGAGACCATTTATCTTTTCGTTCTTCATCAGTAGCTCTACTAACGCACAGCCATCATCTCAACTTATTATCGGAGGGGATGATCCAGCTCTAGCTAGTATCAACACGACATGGATTACGTTTCCAGTCGTTTCAACCACACAACTTTATAGCCGTGAATCTACTCGAGATGAGCACAATTGGGGATTCTGGATCGTACAATATAATTATTTGACATTTAATGAAAGCACACTGTCTTTCAATGGTTTTGCACTACTTGATTCGGGCACGTCATTGCTTCTACTACCTTTAAGTACCTTTAATAGTGTTGTTCAGATGCTCTCGGCTTACTTTGGTACGCGCTTTTATCTCAACACAAATTGGAAACAATCCCTCCCAGCGTGTAGACGTTGTATGGTTAATGACTTTCCATTAATCACCTTTCACATCGTCGTAAGTGAAAACATCAGCCAACAAATAGAATTACATGGAAGCGACTACGTTCGCTGTGATCCGCACCGTCATGAATGTACTGCATTGATTGATACTATTCACCCGTCTGAATTTCCACATCAAATGAACGTTATGATTCTCGGTACACTGTTTTTTCGAGCGTACTACACACGCTTTGACTACAGTAACAAACAAGTGAGTCTAGCGTGCATTCTCGACAGTCCCACCATCTGTCGCGGCGGTTTGCATCAGGCTTTGGACTATTCGGGACAATTGATAGAGCCAAAGCACGAGATACAGCAATCATCACGTCAAATTTTGACTGGAGTGTATGCTGCTATCACTGCTCTCGTTCTACTTGCAGGCATTCGAGGATTCTTATACACTCTAAGCAAACGGAAATTCAAACACATTCATAACTCATGACGTTTTCAGGCTAGCTCAACAAATAACAAATAAAGTTCACCATTTTGACTTGTATCAAGACAGCCAATTGAGCTGGACCATACTGTCCTACTCAACTGCTCAAATGTGATCCACTATTCGTGGTTCCGTAGTAGCCACAGGTGCATCTTTCACTCGAATGCGTAACGTATCAAATTCTTCTGGCACTTCATCTCCACGCATTCCTGTCGTTCCAGGCCCAAGACTTTTGAATTGAGCACTAGCGGCTGGTTCCCACTCGGATTTCAGCTCAATATCCGGTCGATATCGCATCAAAAGGTCACGAAGTAGACGCGTAAACTCACTGCGAACAGTTGAAGGGATGTGTGCAATCTCTAATGCCCTTGCGCGTAGATCCGTTGTACGATGACATTGTAGCAAGTCTGCGATCCACGTGAGACAAAAGCTAAATTTCTTCACATTAGCCTTGCAAACGCCCATTCGCAGTAAATGAAGCAATTCCGTCTCATTTCCAAGTCGAGGACACTTTCGAACGACAATAGCTTCAACACGCACAAAGAGTGCGTCCTCTTGTTCCTTTCCATGAATTCCTTGACCGTAGCACTTTTCGCAAAGCTCATACTGTTGTCCATTCAATAGACGACACGATCGACAGATCCATTTGATATTTACAAGTGGTTTACGTCCACAACCATCACAGATTGACTCATCTTCATCTTGGCTACCGTCTGTTATATTACCCGTTGATCCACTTGCTGGAATAGGCGAAGCTTGAAAAGAAGCAGTCGTTGCTAGTGTTTGTTGGGATTTATGACGACTTAAACGATCAAAGACGCTGCCAACAATCTTTTTTATCTTACCATCTTTCTCACGTGGAGGCATTGGAATTACTTCCCCATCTGAGCCTATTGGAAGCATATTCATTGAAGATGGTGATTGACCAGGTGAAGGCAATGCACCCATCGTCATTGTATATGTTCGTCGTGTCTCGACAGCAAAAGTTGGTCCTGAGCGTTTAGGTGTTAATGTATAACGTCGCGATGATTTGTCAAGTGATTTATCCACTGTTTTATCCTGCAGAGGCACGACTGCTCGTGTTGCTGCAACTCCACTGAGTGGTTGAGAAGTAAACATTGCTTTCGTTGCATGCAATTCGCGTGGACCGTGGGGTATGGAAGGACGAGCAAGACCTCGTCGATCGAGCTCTATACAGTCAAAAAGATGTGGTGTTTCTGTATCCTCCATTTCATGCACTCCTTGAGGTGTCAAGACCAATGTTTCTTCGCTGCTTTCGGGAAATGAAGTCGTTCTACGTATCGATAATGAAGTGGATGGTGACTTGTCACTTGAGTTGAAAGAAGTAGAACGTTCATCACACGTTGTTTCTGTATTTTGTAGTGTTGTGATTCGAAAATCCATTGTTTGCTTATAATACGTTCGACTAAAACACTCCAAATGACCATCCATTGTGTCGTGTAGAGCTGGTAATAAGTAGAGTAAGAGAATACGACTCAATTCTTCAGATACATCAGAAAAAATGAGATCACTCATTGCAGGAATCTTTTGCTCTTCAATTGCTTTGAGTAATGGTTGTAAATTTTTTTTGTCGAGCTGGGAGAATTTCTCCAATTTTGCGAGAGCTGTACCTACTGCTTTCGTGCGGTTACTCATGCCTACTTTACACTTCCACGGTGTCCACTTGACATCTTCTGCTCGATTTACTGTGCCAACATCCATCATTTCATCATTTTCCAATTTTCTGGTATGAGGTATCATTTGTGGCTGTGCATTTACAATCTGAAGCCAGCGGTCTTTCCATTGAGCTACTGATCCTTCTAACTCTTCGAGTCGTCGCTGCATGACACGAAATTGTTGATCTTTTAACTGAATATAGTTCTCTTTTAGACATAGATCACGAGTCAATGCACTGTTTGTGACCTGCAGCGCTTCGACTTGGGTCTGAAGCGCTGCCAAGTTGTGCTGGAGCGTTACGGTCGTCACCATATTCGATTGGCGGTTTGGTACTGGTATTAGTAATTTAATGTATATTTGGTGTTTTAGCTTTGGCCTAGGCTAAGTGATGATCTTGACGATTTTTGAACTGGGGTGCTTTTCTTTAAGAGACTATTTTGCTAGCGGAGGAGATGTTTTGTCGTGATCTGTGGGGATAGACATGTGCTAGCGATGCATTGCGTGTTATGAAATGATTTCTACACAAACGCCTAATCTGATTGTCGTGGAAGCTGTCCATCAAGTCAAGTGATGGAGACAAAGCACGGATTTGTCGTATAAGACTAGTTGTGTGAAATGGCAATCAAGGATTCGATTGAAGAGTCTAACATTCGAGTGGTGGTTAAATCGTAGACTCTCCTCGTTTTCTGCGCTTAAAACTATCTAATGTTAGGTGGACGATAGCCTCGTTGCATCTGGTAGCTCTTGTAGTTATTCTGCCAACCTTTTCTAACTCGATTACATCCTTTGTGATGATTAAGCACTTTATTTTGTCTCTTCTCTCCTCTGAACGACAAGGTACGCTTAACAAGCTTTTGTCTTTATTTGGTCCAAAGGGGATAGCACAATTGCTGGCTTTGGAGCTGAAAACACTTTTGCTTGCCTGGAAGCACTCGCCAGCTTTACTGAGACACCTCAGAAACGCATCAGTCAAGCAGGCGTCGTGGTAGCACAACCGACCTTCCAGTGAGGCCGGTTTGCAGAGCGTCCAGATCGCTGAGTGCAGCGGGGCTGCCGTGGCTCTTTGCTTGGATTGGCTAAGCTAAGGTCACCGACCTTTCGATCTTTATAATGCCAGAATGAGTGAAGTGGGTCGCAATGCGCCGCCTCCAAGAGTACTGAAAACCTCACCAAGGTAAGTGAACTCTTCCGTTCAAAATTGAAACTATATTTAACTGTTTTAGTTGCGGCAGAGCCGCCAATATCTAGAACCTCAGATTTTGAAATTGATATAGTAATACCTAATTAGTCCTTATCAATATAGTGAAATACATTACTAATGGCAATCCTGCCACGTGGTGGCTTGTTACTGTGTAGCGCAACCACTCTGTGATTACACTTACTTGTGTAATACACACCCATGTACGGTCACACCAACCTGTGCGACCCGCCTTTTCATACAAGGGTACGTGTAATCCCGTTACACTTTTCCTATTAAAATTGTGAATATCTGCGATTCACATTTGATGGCCGCCTCATACGAGGCTCCTGAGACAACGTCACGTTCTTACGAACAACTCTAAACATTCTCCGCTCTATGAGCCTTGTGTCTACGACACGCAAAACATCCAGCCTAGCTAGTTGCGAGGGCGCCCGCGGGCAAAGCCCTTCTTCTTCTTCTGCACAGGGTGCATCACCGGACGGTACGTCTGTGGCTTCACGGGAAGCACATCCCAAGCCCTCGGCAACCGAGCGCAATACACCGCGCCCGCCCCGGGCGACGGATTTTCTCGTCGAGGAGTTGGAGGAAGTCGACTATGACTCGGATTCTTTTTTTTCAGCATGGGAAGACGAGGAGGATAAAGTGCGCCAACGGCGCGACGTGAGTCCAGCTAGAAACCTTGCGAGTACCGTGTCCGTTCCCCGACCCCTCGGCTACCGGGTGAAGTGGTATTATTACCATTCACCTCGACGAGGCGCAGGAGCAGCAATTAAAGGCTGTCCACAGGGCGGCTCTCATGCGCTCGTTTCCACGTTTGGTCTTCGACCCTCGTGTCGAGTACGGCTTCCGCTTGGCGGATCCCGCTGCTGAAGCGAAAGACGCGATCACTCGATCGTTAGGCATCTACGTAGTCGGGCCTCCGGCCACTATACAAGCTGAGCCTAATCAGCAGAAAGCTCTCTGAGATCGCTTTTAGGCTTGTGACTTCGCTGATAGGAAGACAGCGAGGGAAGTTTTAGGTGCCGCTGCACCATCGCTCAAAGTGCTCCTCATCATCTGCAGCGGTTTCGCCAGGCGCGAGCACCACAGGAATTGTCCGCATTGCGGGTACAGGAGCGTCTCCTCGAGAGCTCGAAGTCGAGCGCGGCATTGGGATTTCTTGTGGTAGAAGTGAATGTGCGCGTAGAATGCCATCTTTGATTTGAGTTAGCCAAACTCAAGGCGCAACGCGTATTGTCGCCCTGCGACATATGGAACAATCCATCATGCTCCCGCGAGCTCTGTGGTTCT